GCTAACGAGTGAAGGGCATGTGATGAGAAAGTTTTAGAGAAAACAAAATTTGTGACGAAAATCTTTTTATAAAAAAGAGAATAAATTTTTTAAAAAATCCGCGGTCACGAATAATTCATGTGGGGGAAGGGGTAGGGAGGTATTTCACTGTGAATTTCCGTAAATTTTCCCCGCCCCCCTCCTCTCAATTATCATCATCATCAATATTGTAAATTCTTTCGTGTGTTTCGGATTTGCATCCGAATGCGTTTTTGTTACGTTTTTGTTTTTTTAAAGGATTGCGATTCATCATTTTTATTTACCTTGAATTTACTCACACCTGACGCAAGATTCATTTTTAATTTATTTATATATTAAAAAAATTCGTTTAAAGATTTGTTAGTTCCACGAACATTTTTTTTTTAAATTCATTTTTTTCGGATTATATTGTTAACCACGTAAAAAACAAAACATGGCGATCACTTCAAGTTGTTGTGTGATAACAAAATTTTTTATCGATTAAAAATTTTTTTTTCCTCTTTCTTTCTCTCTCTCTTTCTCTCTCTCTCTCTCTCTCTCTCCTCTCTCTCTCTCCTCTCTCTCTCCTTTCTTATTTGCGAAATGAATTGAAAAAAAATCGATTCGATAGATAGATAGATAGATTTGCCCGAAATGAATTGGTTTATTTATTAATGGATTTCGTTTTTTGTTTTCCTTTATTTTGTGGTAAAAAAAGAGCCTTTTTGAAATTTTTATTTGTTTTGTGTGTGTTTGTGTTTGCGTTGGAAATGTTAAAGGTTAAAATAATTCCACCACGTTTCGAAAATTGTCGAAAAAAAAGGGGAAAAAGGAATATACGTCGTATTCATTATTATTATTATTATTATTATTATTATTATTATTATTATTATAGCTTTTCTGCTGTCAAAATCAATTCCACGATTTCATTGTTATATACATTTTGATGGCCGGCAATTCCCCCCCTCCCCTCGCTTTCCCCCCTCGCTCCCCAAAGTTGTTAAAAACATGAACGTTTTAAACGACAAACGTTAACCAACCACTTCTTTCGATCCTTTTCTACCCCTCCCTCTCTCTCTCTCTCTCTCTCACACGTCCAAAGTGTTTTTCGTAATCGATTTTTTTTCTTTTTCTATAACCCGAAATCGGTAGTTTGTTTGATTGGTTTTCCTTTTATTCAAAACTTAAAGTTAAAATAAGGAAACAAACAAACAAACGAACAAACAAACAAACAGGTAGAAAATGCATTCGAGTTCTAAACGTTTATAATTTTTACATGGCTCCCCATCGTAATTATTAAATCGTTTTTTTTTTTTCTTTTGCAAATCTTATTAAGGTTAACGTAACGACTAATTTTGTGAATTTACGACAAAAAAAAAAAAAAAAAAAAAGAAATTTTCTTTTTTCTTTTCTATCTCTCTTTTTACCTTTTTTTTTAGGTGACCTACTCGTGAAAGAAAATCACAGTTAACGAACTAACTAACTAACTAACTACTTTGCAAATCTTAAATAGTTAATAATAATAATAATTTTTCATCTTTGTAGAGAAAAAAAAAAAAAAGAAAGTTTTTAGTTTTTTAGAACGAGATTAACGCACGATGTATCATTATTATTATTATTATTATTATTATTATTAATGAGACATTTTTGATTAATCAAAAACAAAAATTTTTTTTTTCGAGCGCTTTTCTTTCATCATCGTACCTTTGTTGGGGAGGCCTTACCCCGGGGGGGAAGGGAAAAGTAAAAAAAAAAAAAAAATTTTTGATTGTGTTTAAAGAGGTTGTTGCCACGTCTTGAGGTGATGATGTCATAATAAATTACTTGGGGGGTTTATAAAGTTTTTCCTTTTTCCCTTTTTCCCTTTTTTCCTTTTTTTTTTTTGTATCGGGATCGATAACCTTTTACCAAAACGATTTTTGATTTTATTATGAGAAGAATGAGAAGAAACGGAGGAGGATTTGTTTTTATAATTTTTAACCAAAAAAAAACTAAAAATAGATTTAAAAAAAAAAAAGTTTCGAATTTATATGGCTCATGTGCGTGCATGTGTTTGTTGTTTGTTGTGTGTGTTTGTGTTTGTTTTTTTATTTAAAAAATTTTCCATGTTTACCTAGAATGAAATTAACGAACGTTGAATTTATTATTACAATTGCCTTCCTTATTAACATAATTTATTCATATTTAATTAATATACAAAATAAGGAGGATGTAAAGGAAAGATTTTTTCTCTCTCTCTCTCTCCCCCCCCCCTCGGAAAGGATGCGAGGAGGATTTTTTTTTTTTTTTTAATCGAATGATGGAATTTTTTGTTGTTGTTGTTGTTGTTTCACGTACAGGAAACAGCCAAAGACGTTTGCATTCGACCACTGTTTCTATTCCTCCGATCCAGGCGGAGATAATTTTGCTAGTCAGGAAATTGTATTCAATTGCCTGGGTCGAGATATTTTGGACAATGCTTTCAAAGGTTACAACGCTTGCATATTCGCCTACGGTCAAACGGGTAAGATATTATTAATATTTTCACATAATTACTCATCACGAATCGGTTTATTATCGTTATTATTATTATTATTTGTTTTTTTCCCAAAAGGGTCGGGTAAATCATATACGATGATGGGATCATTGGAACAGAAAGGAATCATACCCAGGTTGTGCGATTCACTTTTCGACACGATATCAAAACAAGAAAGCTGCGAATTAAGTTACAAGGTTGAGGTTTCGTACATGGAAATATACAACGAAAGAGTTCACGATTTGTTGGATCCGAAACCGAACAAGCAAAGTTTGAAAGTTCGAGAACACAACGTTTTGGGTCCGTACGTGGACGGTTTAAGTCAATTGGCCGTAACGTCGTTTCAGGTACGTAACGAAACGAGAAAAAGTTTCCGGGTTTCCCTCTCACCACTTCTCTTTTTTTTCCCCCCCTCCCCACAAATTTTGCGTGCTGATTTTTTTTTAAAAAAAAAAATAAATAATTACATGTTCGTGTCACGTATGTGCAATTTGAAAAAAGGTTTAATAATATATAAATGCCAAGTTCGTTCGTTTTCCCTGAGCTTTGAATTCGTAAGTTCATCGGAAGAAAAAAAAGGAAGAAAAGGATTTAATAATAAATTTTCTTTTTTTTTTTTTAGGACATTGACAACCTAATGACTGAGGGAAACAAATCAAGAACGGTTGCGGCGACTAACATGAATTCGGAATCGTCGAGGAGTCACGCAGTTTTCAGCGTTATTTTAACTCAAACATTGACGGATTCTCAAAGTGGGGTGTCCGGGGAAAAAGTATCGAGAATGTCTTTAGTGGATTTGGCCGGAAGCGAGAGGGCAGTCAAAACAGGGGCAGTCGGAGATAGGCTGAAGGAGGGTTCAAACATAAATAAGTAAGTAGTTGATTTTTCGTTGCTGTTGTTGTTGTTGTTGTCGTTCCGTTGTTGTTGATTTTTTTTTTTTTTTTTTTTTTTTTTTCTTTTAAGATCGTTAACCACGCTTGGAATAGTTATATCAAAGTTGGCGGATCAATCGAACGCCGCGAATAAAAACAAGGATAAATTTGTACCGTATCGTGATTCCGTATTGACTTGGTTATTAAAAGACAACCTCGGTGGAAATAGTAAAACCGTTATGGTGGCCACCATAAGTCCTTCAGTCGACAATTACGAAGAAACTTTGTCGACTCTCCGATACGCGGACAGAGCCAAGAGAATCGTCAATCATGCTGTCGTCAACGAAGATCCAAATGCCAGGTGAGATTTCACAAACGACATTTTTTTTTTTTGTTTGTTTAAAAAAAAAATTCTAAATTCGATTCTCGTGTTTTTTTTAAATTTTTCAAAAAGGATCATAAGAGAATTAAGGCAAGAGGTTGAAGCGTTGAGAGAAATGCTTAAGCAAGCCTGCGTCACGTCTCCGTTGGGAATGACGTCAGAAAGCAGACGAGAAGATTTAACGGAAAAACTGACAGAGAGTGAAAGACTAGTCAAAGAAATGTCTCAAACGTGGGAGGAAAAATTATTAAAAACAGGTACTAATAACCATACGTAAAGATGGCGTCCATTTGTTTTTCTATTAATGTTACTTTTAGAAAAATGTGTTTTCGATATTGAAAAAAAAAAAAAAAAAAAAAATGGTAGACGATCAATTTAGTAAAAAAAAAAAAAAAAAAAAAAAGAAAGAAAGAAAGTCAATCGCATGTCTAATATTTTATTTAATTCATTCGGGATTCGTTGGCCTTTCCCCCCCCTCCCCTCCACCCTCCCCCGTCGCGTTTTCTTTTAAAATTAAAATTAAAATTAAACTTTGACCGAGATAGATAAATGCAAAAGTGCTTCAAAATTGATTTACAGAACGACTGCAGCATGAGCGACAGCAGGCGTTGGAAAAAATGGGTATCAGCGTTCAAGACTCAGGTATTATGGTCGAAAAGAATAAGTATTACTTAGTTAATTTAAATGCGGATCCTTCCTTAAACGAATTGCTGGTCTATTACCTTAAGGTAATGTAAAAATAAAAAAACTTTGTTTTTTCATATTAATTAATTGAATTGGACACATTTTGAAAACGTTTCGATATTGTTAATTGTTAGGAAAGAACGTTGGTCGGAAGCAAGAACTGTGATATACAATTATCTGGTCTCGGAATTCAACAGGAACATTGCGTTATAGAAATAAAAGATGGAAGCGTCGTCATGACTCCTTTTACAAATGCTAGATCTTACGTTAACGGCGCTTCGATTTTATCACCGACTATATTACATCACGGAGATCGTATACTGTGGGGAAATCATCATTTTTTTAGAGTTAACTGTCCTAAAAGTAAGATTCCTGTACACGTCGATGATGTGACTTTTTTTCAATTGAACTCATTTGACGGATTTTATTTGTTTTTCCCCAACAGCGAATTCTGAGCCTCAAACACCTGCTCAAAATTTGGATTATGATTTCGCCAGGGAAGAATTAATGATGAACGATTTGTCAAACGATCCCATACAAACAGCAATTGCAAGACTTGAAAGGCAACACGAAGAAGACAAACAAGGTAAAAAAAAAAAAAAAAAAAATTTCTTTTTCTTTTTCCTGTTTTTTCCTGAAGAAGAGTTCCCGATGGAGAGATTTTCATTTAATTTTTTAAAATTATTATAAAATCAGTGGCGTTGGAAAAGCAAAGACAAGAATACGAGCGACAATTTCAACAATTGAGAAATATTTTGTCGCCTTCGACACCCTATGCTCCATACGCTCCATTTGATCCTTTCAGACCGGGAAGGATAACCCCCTGCACTCCTGGCACAGCTCAAATGAGAGTCGATAAATGGGCTCAAGAAAGGTACGTCGCGGAATTGAGTTTTCTTTTTCTTGGAAAATTTTTTACTTTTTTCATACGAATGCGTATTATACCTGATTTTTGTTACAGAGATGAAATGTTCAGGAGATCGTTGGGACAATTGAAACAAGATATAGTCAAAGCAAATGCGTTGGTTCAAGAAGCGAATTTTCTTGCCGAAGAAACGGGGAGAATGACTAAATTTAGCGTAACTCTTCAGATTCCTCCAGCGAACCTGGGTCCCAATCGAAAGGTAAAGGTTTAAAAGAAAAAAATAAATAAATAAGAAGATCAAAAAAAAAAAAAAAAAAAATTATTTATATTTCGTTCATTTGCAGAGAGGAGCTTTCGTCAGCGAACCTGCAATACTAGTTAAACGTAAAGGAATGGGAAGTCAAGTTTGGTCAATGGAAAAATTAGAAAACAAATTAATAGATATGAGAGAATTATATGAAGAATCGGAAAGAAATGATTTTCAGGCTCAGGTACGTTCACGATTACGTACGAACTTTAAAAATTAATTCAAATTTGATATTTTTATTATTAAATTTTTAATAGGAAAAAGTGCCTGGAAAATCTTTGGATCCATTTTACGAAACTCAGGAAAATCATAATTTAATCGGAGTCGCAAACGTGTTTTTAGAAGCTTTGTTTCACGATGTTAAATTGGATTATCACACTCCTATAATTAGTCAGCAAGGAGAAGTTGCTGGAAGACTCCAGGTTTTAATTTTTTTTTTCTATTTTCCCGATTCAATACTTTTTTTTTACGGGAAAAATATGAATTAAATGATTTTCCGTTGGTTTTCAGGTTGAATTAAGCAGGGTGAGTGGAAAATTTCCTCAAGACAGAATGTGTGAAGCCGCTTCGGAGTGTTCGGGAGATTCGAATGAATCCATGGAAGAAGAACCGAATGGAACGAGCACCATTGTTTGCAGAGTAACGATTAAGCAAGCATCGGGTTTACCCCTCTCACTGTCCAATTTCGTGTTTTGTCATTATCATTTTTGGGGTGATTCCGAGCCCATAGCAGTCCCTCCCGTCGTCAGTCCAGAATTACCGACGACACCTCATCCGGCATCTATGACGTTTAAATTTGATCACACCATGGATTTCACCGTTCCCATAACGGAAGAATTTATTGAGCATTGCGCGGAAGGTGCGCTTTCGATAGAGGTTTGGGGTCATCGTTCAGCCGGTTTCAGCCGATTGAAACCCGGTTGGGAAGTCGAGCAACAACAGTTGGCGAAAGCTCGTTCTCTCGCCGACAGGTGGTCGGAACTCACGAGGAAAATCGAATTGCTCGTCGAAATTCAAGAATTAACGGAACAGGGTGAATACTCATCGGTGGAAGTGGTGCCCAAACCCGAGCTTCCGACCGGCGGTGTTTATCAACTGAGGCAGGGTCAACAAAGAAGAATCCAAGTCAGGGTCAGGCCCGTTCAACACAGCGGTACATTGCCAATAATTTGTCAATCCGTCGTTAGCATCGCTATCGGAAGCGTTTGCAACAGGTTATACAACGTTTACATGTAGCTTCGAGTAGTACCTCCAGCCGATTTTAAATTAATTTAAATTATTTGACGATTAGGTCGAGACTACAAAAACCTTTGGATTCATATCAGGAAGAAGATTTAAGTAGGCTGAGAGAGAAATGGTCAGATGCACTAATGAGGAGGCGGCAATATTTAGATCAACAAATACAAAAATTAATCAATAAACAAGACAAAACGGAGCAAGACATCGAAAGGGAACAGAGTTTAGTCGACCAATGGGTAAATAATCTTTCCTATTTTTTTTTTTTTTTTTGGTTCGCACCTGAACCCACAAGGTACGAGACGAAAATTAAAATTTCCTCGTTTTTATTCAATTTTTTTTAGGTGAGTTTAACCGAGGAAAGAAATGCCGTTTTGGTACCGGGAGCAGAATCTGGAATTCCCGGAGCTCCGGCGGATTGGTGTCCGCCTCCCGGTATGGAACCACACGTTCCGGTTTTATTTTTAAATCTTAACGGTGAGTACTTCTTTTCGCGTACCTACTAACTACTACTATTAAAAAATCTCTTTATTGACTAACATTTTATAATAATCGAAATTTACAGCCGATGATTTATCTTTGTCGAAGACGAACGAGGATGAAGTGTCGGTAGCCGGACTCAATTCCATACTCCCCAAAGAACACGGTAATAAATTTTATAATTTGCCGATAATAAAACATTTGGAAAAAGACGTGAGCGCTGTAGCCGCTTGGGATTCGTCAATACACGACAGCGTTCATTTGAATAAGGTTACGGATCGTAAGTGTTTGCTCTCTCTCTCTCTCTCTCTTCCTTTTCTCAAAAACGTTTTATATTAAAAACCTTTTTTTCCCTCCGCAGCAAACGAGCGCGTGTACCTTATTTTAAAAACGACAGTGAGGTTGAGTCATCCTGCACCCATGGATCTGATATTGAGAAAACGTCTTGCTCTCAACATTTACAAAAGGCAATCGATAACGGATCGTTTGATAAAGAAAATCGTTAGGAGTGACGTATTAGCTCACACGGCTGTGACTTATCAAGTCGTTTCGAACATTCCAAAGGTATGGGAAAACGCATTTTCGACTATGGCCGTCCGTTCTTATCTCAAAGGTTGACCTTTTTATCGTTTCAGGCGAGTGAAGAATTAGAAAATAGAGAATCTTTGGCTCAAATAGCGGCATCCGGGGAGGATAGTAATTTTGCCGACGGTGAAACTTACATAGGTGACGTAAAATTAATGAGAAAAACGATTGGGGGGAGGGGGGGGGGAAGAAAAAGAAAATGCTCACGTCCTCTTTTTTTTTTTCCCTTATAACAGAGAAATACACGAGAGGAGTGAGTGCCGTGGAAAGCATACTGACACTGGATCGTTTACGACAAAGCGTAGCCGTTAAAGAACTTTTGCAGGCTCAGGGACAACCTCTGATGAGAAAGACTGCGAGCGTACCTAATTTCACTCAAATGTTGAGCAGGTTCGATTCATCGAGTTTGTCGGATTTTCAGGTTTGCAGATCGGAATCCGTGTCGGAGCTTTGTAATTCTTCCGGAGAGGAACCCATCATTCCGACGAAACAATACGGAATCGGTAAGTTTTGCCTTTCACTTTTAATTTTTTTTTTTACATTTTTACATTTTTAAATTCGAAGCACACACCCCCCCCCCCCCCCCCGGAAAAAAAAAAAAAAAAAAAAAAAGAAAATTTATGGCATGCGAAAATTTTTTTTTTTTTTTGTGGTCATATTCAAATTCGGTACAAAATTTTTAGATTTTAAATGTTTATAAAATTTTCTTAGTTTACAATAAGAAGAAAGAAAAAAGAAAAAATTTAGAATAGGAAAATTAGTTTAAGGAAAATTTACGTTTTAAACATAGTATTAAATTGTGTACCCTTTAGAAAGTGTGATAAATTTGACGAGGAGTAGGAGTAGGAGTAGGAGAAGGAGGAGGAGGAGGAAAGGTTGAAAGGTTGAAAGGTTGGAAAAGGGTTTTTTCAAATTTAAAAAAAAAAAAAAAAAAAAATCGGCCATTTTCATCATCATTATTATTATTATTATTATTAATTTCAAAGCATATGTTTTTTTAATGTTCGGCTTTTTGCCTCGGCACTTTTTTTTATTATTTATTTATTTCACTATGTTTTTATTATTATTATTATTATTATTATTATTATTATTATTATTATTATTATTATTATTATTATGACTGCTATAAATTTTTTTTTTTGTAAATATGGCTGCTTTTTGAATTGTTATTATTATTATTATTATTATTATTATTATTATTATTATTATTATTACGGATCGTTTAACGAGCTTTTCATCGTCTCAAAAGTTTAATAAGTAATTTTTTTTTTTTAAAAAATAATAATGATGATAATGAGGACGTTGGAATATAATTTTACGATGATGACGTCATTAGGTTGAGACGATGCCTGAAAGCCTTTTTTTTAAATTGCTGCGTGCGTTTTTTTTTTACTGTTGTTATTCTGTTTCTCTTTCTCTTTCTCTCCGGTTCGCTCAACAAAGCAAAACATAAACATAAACAAAAACAAAACCAAGAAGAAAATTTTTTTTTTTCATTTTTTTCATTTTTTACGTTTTTTTTTTTTTTTTTTTTTCTGCCGACATTTTTTTCCAAAGGCTCCATATTGTCGACAGGTAACGTAGAATGGAGTCTTGTCTTGTTAAAATATTACATTATTATTATTATTATTATTATTATTATTATTACTATTATTGTTCGTAGAATTCCATTTTATTCCTCATCTTTTTCTCTCGACTTTTTTTCCCCTCAAAAAGGGAAAATAAGGAAAAACGGGAAAAAAAAGAAGAGAGAAAAAATTAATTTTGTTTGTTAGAATTTGTTTGATGTAGAAAAAGAAAGAAAAGAAAAGAAAAGAAAAAATTGGATTCGATACCAATTGATATCGTTTAGTGAATACCCTTTATTATTATTATTATTTTGTGTTTCCGAGTAGTTTGTAGTTGTAAAAAAAATGATTAGAAAAAGTATTTGAATTGAAATGGTAGAGAAAATCTCATGGGAAGAAAGAAAGAAAGAAAGGAAAATCCTAAATAATCGATCGATTTGAAAATATCGATCGCGTGTTGAATGGATATCGATATATTGATTTTTTACAATCCAAAACGTGTGCGCGTG